TGGGTGCTAGACTGGAGGAGAGCAAGGCAAGAGACAGGAAGACCTGATGTAAGACTCACATAGTAGAGCCTGGAAGGGAGGAAGATCCAAATCAGGGCAGAAGAAGGCAGAATGAAAAAGAATCATGAGGCAGGTGGGTGGGGCGGGGGAGGTCACCTGGCTGGCTTGGTCACTAGAGCATGTGACTCTTGGGATCATGAGATGCCAACGTTGGGTGTAGCTCTTACGTGAAAAAAAGAAAAAGAAAAAAAGAACCACGATTCCTAACAGAATGACCATACTGGAATCACCTGGGTAAGTAAACAAGTCATAACTTTTACAACTTATCATTTTGAAAGCTGGATGAATATATAAAATCAATAGCTTTCCAAAACCATTATAGAAATATGAAGAAAAACCCACTCATAATAGCAACATACACTTTTTTAAAACCACACACAAAACAACAACCACATACACACACACACACCTAGGTATAAACTCAACAAGAAATGTGCAAGATTGATATGAAGAAAAATAGAAAACTTTACTGAAGACACAGAAGCCTGGAAGAGCAGAGAGATATTATCGCAGCTGTCAAATACAGAGCACACAGCATGTGCCACATTATATTCCATCACGTACACATTACTCACTCAATCCTTTCAACACCCTTCTTCAAAAGGTACTATAATTACTCTATTTTTTTAATAAAGAGATTGTTTTACAAATATAGTCAAAATAACATATAAATGTAATGCAAACTTAATTTTAAAAAACTTTTTTAAAAATGAACTGATCATCAAGAGAGGGAAAAGACAACCCCAGGATGGGAGAAAATATTTGCAAAGCATATATCTGCTAAGAGCATGTATGTAGAATATATAAAGAACTCTTACAATTCAATATAAAAAAGACAAGCCGGTTAAAAACAGGCAAGGATCTGAACAGACATTTCTTCAAAGAAGATATACATATGGCCAATAAGCACTGAAAAGCTAGTAGGGAAATACAGATCAAAATGACAATGAGATACCACTTCACACCTACTAGGATGGCTCTAATGAAAAAAACAGATAATAAGTGCTAGCAATAATATGGAGAAATTAGAACTCTCACACACTGCTGGTGGGAATGTAAAATGGTGCGGCTGCTTTGAAAAACACTGGCAGTTCCTCAAATGATTAAACATAGGGTTGCCATATGACCCAGCAATTCCACTGCTAAGTATATACCCAAGAGGAATGAAAACATATGTCCAAACAAAAGTTCACAACCGCATTATTCATAAATAGCCAAAAAGTGGAAACAATGTATACGTCCTTCAGCTGACAAGTGGATACATAAAATGTACCATATCCATAAGGTTATGGGTTGAATTGTGTCCTCAAAAAAGATATGTTGAAGTCCTAACCCCCAGTACTTGTGAATGTGACCTTATTGAAACTTAGGCCTTTGCACACATAATCAAGTTAAAATGAGGTCATACTGAACTAGTGTGGGCCTTTAATCCAATAGAAATGGTGTCCTTCCATGAAGGGGAGAAGAGACACAGAAACAGGCTCCTACAGAGAGAATTATCACATAAAGACAGACCCTCAGGGAAGAAGGCCATGTGAAGACAGAGGCAGAGGTTAGAGTTTCGGCAGCTGCAAGCCAAGGAATGCCAAGGATTGCCAGCAACCACCAAAAGCTAAGAAGAGGCAAGAAAGGATTCTCCCCTAGAGCCATCAGAGACAGCAAAGCCCTGCTGACACCTTGATTTTGGACTTTATAGCCTCCAGAACTGTGAGAGAATACATTTCTGTTATTTTAAGCCACCCAGTTTGTGTTACTTTGTTACTGTAGCCCTAGGAAACAAATACAACATAGGATGGAATTCTGTTCAGCAGCAAAAACAGAGGAGTACTGATACATTCTACAACATGGATGAAACTTAAAAACATTATGCTGAGTGAAAGAAGCCTGTCACAAAATATCACAAATTGTATGATTCCATTTATATAAAATATTCAGATCTATAAAGGCAGAAAGATTGCTAGCCTAGGGCTCTGGTACTGGGGAATGGGATGGGGAATGACTGCTAATTGGCATGGGTTTCTTTTTGGGGTGATGAAAATGTTCTAAAATTAGATTGTGGTGATGGCTGCACGACTGTGAATACACTAAAAAAACCACTGAATTGTACACTTTAAACAATGAGTTATGTAAATTACATCTAGATAAAGCCACTTAAAAAAACTATTTGACAAGCTAATTCTAAAAATCTGGAAAAGAAATTCTAAGATTAGCCCCCATAGTTTTTTTAAATGAGTATGTGAGCTGATAAAGTATACAATTTTCAATAAAGTAATGACAGTAATAATCATAAGTGAGTATCCTACTAAATATCAAAATAGAACATATATTTAACATCAGATATTGTGGTATTGGTCCAGCAAAACCGAAAATTAGGTCACAGAATAGAACAGTCCAGAAACTGACTCTGTGTGAGAAAGTAGTAAATGATAAATGTGGCAATTCAGATTAATGCGTCATGAATGCATTTAATATTCAGAGTGACACTGTTGGGAAAACAGTAACTATGCACACACCATTCACTCACACACACACATCCCGAGGAATTGAAGAAAAACTCAAACATGTAAGAATTTATAGGAGAAAGGATAGTCATAAGAGAAAACCCTGTTGTGCCTTAGGGTATAACAGTGTTCTTCAACATCAGCACTACTGACTTTTTACTCCAGAAAAATTCTTTGTTGTGGAGGGCTTTCCAATGCGTTCTAGGATATTTAGCAGCATCCCTGGTTTCCACCCAGTAGATGCCCGTCATTCTACAACCCCAGTTAGACAACCAAAAAATGTGTCCTCACATTACCAAATAGCCCCTGGAAGGCAAAATATCTCCCACTGGAGAACCACTCTGGTGGGGAATGACGGCCACAAAATACAGAATACACAGAGTAAAAAACTGATACATTTAAATGTAAAAGTTAAAACTATGGTTTGACAAGGACGCCATGTAGTTGAAAGACAAGCATTAACTTTAAAAAAGCACTATGTTGGGAATAAATACTTAAAACAAAAATGACAAAAAATTAATATCCAGAATACATTAAGAAACTACTATATATTTAAAAACAGTCCAATTAAAAGGAGATATTTCTCAAAAGAGGAAATACAAACAGCCAACAATCATGACAAGATGCCCAATCTCACTAGTAACTAGGGAAATACAAATTAAAACACCAATCAGAATCATTTTTCACCCATCAGATTGGCAAAAATGAAAAAGATTAATAGCATCAAATGTTTAAAAGAGCTAGGGAAATAGACATTATTATACACTGTTGGTGGGCAGTTTGCCATTACCTGTCCACACCCTCCCACCCAGCAATTCAATCTGCAGGTTTGAAATGTCCACATGAGCACACAGACACATGTGGGAGGATGTTTTCTGCCACACTGTGTCTAACTGTAAGCAATCTATGGAATCTCGCATACTATGAAAACTTAATATACCATGGAATTTACAGAGCAAGTAGAAAGAATAAGGTCAATCTCTACATACATATGGACAAAGAAAATGTTCCAAGACCCACTTTTAAGTATAAAAGTCAAGTTGCTGAATAGGTACAATATACCATATTTGTATAATATGTATTAGTAAAAATTTAACATGAAATCTTACATCTTACATACATGTAACTTATGTGAATACTTGTCAATAAATGCAAAGAAAGAGAAATAGAAAAACACATCCCAAACTGGTAACAGTTCTTACTTTAGGTCTAAGAGATTAAAGAAGATGGAGATGGAGAGAGATCAAAGAGGATCCATTTTGTTTAAATTTCTTATAAAAGGCTGTATGCATGAACTACAACTAAAATAAATATAAAAGATGGGGCGCCTGGGTGGCTCAGTGAGTTAAGCAGCTGCCTACAGCTCAAGTCATGACTCCAGGGTCCTGGGATTGAGCCCGCATCAGGCTCCCTACTCAGCGGGGAGTCAGCTTCTCCTTCCCCGTCTGTTGTTCCCCCTGCTTCTGCTCTCCCTCTCTCTCTCAAATAAATACATAAATTTTAAAAATTAAATATAAAAGAATACATTTTTAGAACTAGCTCAACTTGACCAAAACGAATCATTATTTTCCCCTATTAAGCCGCTTTTCTCCCACACTTCCTAATTCTGATAATTAACAAAATATTCCCATGCAGTTCCTTCTATCCATGTAATACAACTAAAAAAATACGGTATGGGGCGCCTGGCTGGCTCAGTCGGTGCAGCATGCGACTCTTGATCTTGGGGTTGTGAGTTGGAGCCGCACGTTGGGTGTAGAGATCACTTAAAAATAAATTTTTTTTAAAATCTTTTTAAAAATGGTATAAATAATGTAGTGTTTTCAAGGAGTGGGTATCTAAGAGAGTTCGCGTCCAATCAGTACATCAAAAGCTTAGAAAGGGTTGGGTCTGCTTATATGTTAATGAGCAAGTATCAATTTTGTAGGCCTCACTAGGGTTGCGGAAAGACAAACCTGCTCCCAGCAAGGCCCAGAGCAGCGGATGTGGTCTGGGAGGGAAAGGGTGGTAACACTGAGGACGGGGGCAGGTCCCCACGAAGGGAGGGGAGGGAACCGTAACGGCGGCCGAGTGCAACACGCAGCGCCCAAGGAGTTGCCAGGTGCTGTGGGCGGTGCCTTCTTTTGAGCTGATTGGGTCTAGAAGCCATGAAGGTTTGGTAGGCGCTCCTAAAGAGAGACGGAGGGGCCCGAGGGGGCGGCCGGGGGAAGCATGGGGGGCCGCGGTCCGGGGCGAGAGCCCTCATCGCACACGTGGGTGCTAAACCGCCGCGGAGGAGGGGAAGAAGGGCTGGGCCAAGTCGCTCGGGGACGGCGGGGTCCCCGCAATAAGTCGCCCCCGCACACGGTGACATCTATGCCTCTCCTCAATCCGCACTGAAAACCCCTTCCTTCCCTCGCACAAGGCGGGTGAAAGGTCCCGCGGTCCCTTATTTTCCCTTACCTGCGACCCCGGACCTAACCCGAACACCTGCGGCACTTCACGCTGAGGAACTGGAACCCTCCTCGGCCACCTGCGCGCACCTACCCGGATCCACTAGGACGGAAACCACTTCCGGTCCTGCGACCGGCTAGGAGGACGTAAACCCGGCTGGGGTATACAAATGGGCGACGCCATGTTGTACGGAAGCTGCTGGGGCAGCTGTTCCTTCCCCAGTTTCTCCACTGCTGAACAAAGGATCTGTTAAAATTGGAAAGGCTTAGCATCTCTTCAGAAAAGGGGTGTTTTTGTTTCTGGGGTGGTATTTTTTTATTTGTTTTGGTTTGGGCTTTAACAGAAGCAGCTCTGGAACCCTCGCAAATGTAATATGGAACATCTAATTGTTATTACTAATTAGCTCAAGTCATGTTACTCTACAGCACTAATTATCTTAACTGTTAAATGATAAAGGTAAATAGGAGAGACACTGTTTAAGTAATGTATTCCTGATTAGCAGTGCATTTTATACTATTGCCATTATAATAATTATGCCATCTTTTATAACAATAACCACAATACCTTATGTTTATATTTAAAATCATTCATTCAACTAGTCTTTATCAGCAACTATTATATATGAAGAGGCTAATATGTGCTATGTATTGTTTCCCTGTCATAAAAAGTGTAACAGAAGGAGAAATGAGATGAGCATAAAGAATATAAGGTATAATAATAGCTGCCATTTGTTCACTATGTACACACAGTGTGCTAGGAAATTGTTTTATGTATTTTATCTCATTTAATCCTCAAAACAACCTCCTGAAACAGTACTATTATTAGTGACATTTTACATAAAATGGAGAAAGGTTAAATAAATTTCTCAAGGTAGTAGCAAGTAAGCATTGGAGCTGGGAATCAAACCTCAGTATATCTTCTTGCGAAGTTTGTTGCCCTCATTCTCTATTATATTGCCTCCTGTACAGGAAAAAAGGTTCTAAGTTCCATTAGGTAAGTACCCATAAGGGAGAAACTTATGGCAGATGTAGAGGATTAACCCCCTGTATTTTAATCGCTCCATCCTGAAACACCTAAAAAAAAAAAAAAAAAGAGTAAAGAGGAAATGCAAATTAGAACCACAATGAGATGCCATTCCATTCCAACCAGAAAGGCTAAGATGAAAAAGACAGAAAACACCAAGTATTGACAAGGTTGTGGAGCAACCAGAACTCTCATATGCTGCTGAGGGAATGTAAACTGGTACAATCACTTTGTTAAACTGTTTGGCAATATCAATAAAGCTGAATGTATGTAGAGCCTTTGTCCCAACAGTTTCACTCCAAGGTATATGCCCAACAGAAATGTGTACATATGTTCACTGAAAGGACAAACATAAAAAAAGCCCATACCTATAATTGGCAATAGCCCTAAACTGGAAACTACCCAAATATCTATGCTGTTAGAAGTCAATGTGGAGTAATGACTCTGGAAGAGAACATGGGGAGGCTCATGAAGTGCTGATAATGTTCTATTAATCTGAGTGCTGGTTTACATATGTATGCAGGTTGCATATTTGTGGACACTTTCCTGAATGCATATATACATAAATGAAACTTTTTTTTTTAATGAAAGTAAAGGAGTGAAAAGTTTATAAACCCAAAGAAGAAAAAGAATAGGAATGGAGATAACAGCAGACAAACAAATCTCAGTGTAATTTTATAAGATAGAAATTTGATTAGAATGACAGAATATTGACATTTGAGGGATCCCCATTGAGGAGGAACAGAATACATGGTACAAACATATGCCACTTTGGCATGTGGATTATTCTGAGCTAAAGGCAATTAAGACCCAGCATATTTAAGAAAAAGTTTTACCTCTCCCTTAACTACCTAAAAGAATTTAGAATGGGGGTCTGGCACAGAAAAAGAGCTATTAGCGGAGATAACTTTTAAGAACTTTTAATGTATAGCAGGGCAAATATCTAATTACCAAATATCTGCTCTCTTGTCCTGTGAATTCCCCTCCTCCCATTTGAAGCCCCAGGCCCCTATCCTATTCTTTAGCTTAGAATAGCATATAAGCCTCAATTGCCAGGCTTGTCCTTGGGTCTCATTCTTACAGGGCTCTCATATGTAAATAATTAAATTTGTTTTCTCCTGTTCATCTGTCTTATGTCAATTTAATTAATAGACCAGCCACAAAAATCTAGAAGGGTAGAGGAAAAATATTTTCTCCCCTACACCATAATAAACTGTCTGGGTCCATAAGCAATCACCCTAAATTAAAGATCCAATCCAACAAGCCCCATCTGTGCATAAAGGATTCCCAGTCAGCTTTTTAATACCTCACTCTTTGTCTTAGTCTATTTAGGTGCTTGTAATAAAATACCATTGAGTAGGTGGCTTATAAACAACAAAAATTTATTTCTCATAGTTTTGGAGGCTGGAAAGTCCATGATCAAGGTGCTGGCAGATTTACTGTCTGGTGAGTGCCTGCTATCTACTTTATACACCACTGTCTTTTTGTTGTGCCCTCACGTGGCCAAGGGATAAGGAGCTCTCATGGGCCTCTTTTATAAGGCATTAATCTCATTCATGAGGGTCCACTCACATGACCTAATCACCTCCCAAAGCCCCCGCCTCCTGATACCAATATACTGGAGGTTAGTTTTCAACATATGAATTTTGAGAAGAGACAAAACATTCAGTCAATAACACCTACATAGGTAATGATATCCAAGAATCACTAGCCATCGCAGGAATATCTCCAACACCATTAATTAACATTTTCTTTTTTTTTTTTAAGAGCGAGAGCATGTGCACGAGGGGGGAGGGGTCGAGGGAGAGGGAGAGAAAGAATCTTAAACAGGCTCCACACTCAGTACAGAGCCCAATATAGGGCTCAATCTCACACCCCTGAGATCATGACCTAAGTTGAAATCAAGAGTCATGCTTAACCAACTGAACGACCCAGGCACCCCATGATTTTCTAAGGAATGGATATAGAACTCTGCACCCAGCATTTTGAGAACACAAATACTTTAAAAAC